CTTCCCATATAGCTTGCAGCTTCATGTTCCTTGAATAATGCTGTAGTGATTCACGTGTCAAAAAAGACATTCAAACAGCTACTACAGAAAATTGGAGAAGTTCATACCATAGTCCCTTTCAATGCCATGGTGATCTCAGCTGCTACTGAGATGCAACTTTAGTGTAAGAAAGAGTAATACAGTACTATAGAAACCTCTTTGTTAGACAAGAGCTAGAACTACTGAAGTAAGATCAGAAGTTACCCATATTACATAATTTGTGGGGATCTGGGGGATATGATCTGTCTCAGTGATTGCACAGACTTGACTCATACCAAATAGTTGCCATTTCCTCATGAGCAAAACTGGAAACATATGAGCTGATTTACAGGGACAAGTAGATAATGTAGAAAAAGCATGCTGAAGAAGTGTCTCCCAAGGAAAGCATTCTGATCTAACTTTTCCCATAATATACACTGTATTTAATTTGCTTATGGGCCATCCAGATTTTTATCACTGAAAAATGTGATGGACTGCAAGACTTTTTTCCTGTAATTTTTAAAATGTTTTGGTAGGAAAATGGTAAAACCAGATTTAATTAACCAGATTGTTTTCAACTAATACAATAGTATGTTCTTTTTTTCTTTTTTTTTGCCTTTTAAATACAAATTGGAATAAATGAAGCCAGTAAGGGTGAATATGCAATGCCCATACTACCTATAAGTAGATTCTGTTCTTTGAGAGTTGGCAAAATGTGACTTATCCACAATGGAAATAGTAAGTAGAGGGAAAGAGTTTGGACTTCTACAGCAAAGCCCCATGTTGTAATCTGGAAAACATATCTGAAAAGTCAACTTCTTTTTCCATTTGCTATACAATGTCTGAATATTTCAAAATAGTCTATGTAAAGAGAGCCAGTTTGGTATAGTGGTTACTAGAAACCAGGAGCCTAGGCCTCCCTTAGGCATGAAAGCCGGCTGGGTGACTTGGGGCCAGTCATTCTCTCTCAGTCCAGCCTACCTCACCGAGTGATTGTTGTAGGGAAAAAGGAGGCAGCAGTATTAGGTATGTTTGCTGCTTTGAGTTGATCAAAAATATATCTAAAAAATGGGATAAAAATCTAATAATAATAATAAAGTTGAGCTTTTTTTGATATAGCTGCAGGAATCATTACTGCTGTTCTACATGCCAGCTAGATCAACTGAAGAGCAATCTAGATCTTTTTATATATTACTATCATTTAAAAAAAGTAGCATTCCTCATGTACAGTCTACTGAAGGAAAGACCGAATCCAGGGGATGGCTTTGAGAGTGCTTTGATATTTATTACATAGCAATAATATAGAGTTAACTTATTTCTTAGCAACAATGTTAACATTGTTAACTCCAAAAACTGGAGTTAGTCACATTTAATTCCCAAATCAGTTTGAATAATAGGTGTTATAAAGCTTGCACAGAGTCATCAATTACATCCTCTAGAATTATAAAAAAAAAGATGTAAACATGAAATGACCATTTCATTGGACACAGTCTGCGTTTATATTTATTCCATATTCTTAATAACACGTTTCTCAGGTAATGGTTCTTAAAATCTACATTTACTTTCACTTTGTCATACCATAAGAAACCATGCCACCAAAACCTCAGATTATGACCTTCCAACATTTTCTTATTTCTTAACAATAGCCATTCCTTCATCACACAACAGCAGATATCATTATTGACATCCACACAAGAAGTTTTTTATAGAAGAGAAACAGCAGATAAAGAATGATGGTTAACATATGAGGATTTATTAATATAAGGAAGAAATTAAGATGAAGACAAGGGAACAATTAGGAACAGAAGGACATTATTTTCAACGGTTTTCTTAAAATCAGAGGAAAAAGAGGTTTAATATGGACAACTGAAATTGAGAAGAAAACTATTTGAAATAGTGATGTACAAATGATGATCATGTAATAGCTAAAATGTACAGTTGTTACTAAGATTTGAAACAGGATGAACAGGTTAAAGATTGTATGGTGAGATGGGCTCCAAACTTTGGTTATAATATAACTAGGGATATATGGGAGAAAATGTGGGAACTGGTGTTAAATTTACGTTGTGCTATAATTTAAGAGAGAACTTTTATAAAATGATGTGCCAATGGCACATGACACTGGCTAAATTGTCTAAAATGCATAAAGGAACATCAAACCAGTGTGGGAAATGCAAAAAGGAACTTGTGAAAAAGCAAAGAAATTTTGGGTGCAAATCCATACAATGATGCAAAAGATATTGTGGATTAACATCATCATAAAACCAGAATTATTCCCATTGGGTTTTATGGAGAAGTAATTAGAGAAGAAATATGGGAAATTAATATTGTATATGGTAACTGTGGCAAGATTATTTGTAGGCAAAAAGTTGGAAAATCAATGAAGTACGTACAGTGGAAGATTGGATTATAAAATTAACTGAACCTGCAGAAATGGCGAAGCTGACCAATCTGGTCAGAGAAAAAAATGACAAAGATTTTTTTGAAAGACTGGAAACCTTATATGGACTTTTTGTTGAAAGAAGATCAAATTGATGATTTCTGGATTTGGGAATTAAAAAGGGACAAAAAGGTTGGGGGAAAGAACAAGATGATAATTACTTGATAAAAAGAAGGGCAGAAGGCATAATTGTATTTTTTCATTCTTTTTACTTTTTTCTTACTTCCTCTTTTGTTTGTACTGTATTGTGTGTGTGTGTGTGTAGTCATTTCGCATGAGTTTTGTTCTGCAAGTAAACTACAACAACCTGATAATAATTTCGCCACTTCCCAATCAAGCATCAGGAACTGCTCTATGTGAAAGACATGCCGAAAGTTACACAATATCCAAAGAGAAACTAGGGTTCCATTCGGAGGCAGTTTTTACTGCCTATTTTTCACTAAAATAAGACAGTTCTTTCGTCTGTTTTAATTTCAAGAAATCCTGAGAACTAGGGCAACACATTTTTATGATACGAACAGAGCAATGCCGTGCATCATGACAGACCAGCAGGATAGAGGTCAGGGAGAAGCACAACAATGGCTGATCCAGATCTGGAAGGCAGCTGCAATACTTCCTACGTTGCAACCAAACTTTCTCCAATTTAACTGCTCTGAGCTATTGGCCACAGCCGAAACTGCCTCCCTCGGCCTCCTAGCACTCAAGGGACTGGCTTTTCTGGCATCCTTCCATTATATGCTCTCAACACCAATGGGCCTGGTTGGTGGCTGCCTCCGTTTTTTTTTTTTTAAATAAATGTTGGCTGCAGTCCAACTATAGGCACAGGCCGCAGCAACAGCTGCCCATACATAGCTGTGTATGAAAATCAACCGTTTTATCAAGCAGCTGCTCAGAAGAATGGAGGCTACTTGGGGTGGGGAGGGAGAAAGAAAAATGTTAAACCTTTACTGTTCCCTACTCTTGACCACTGAGACTATTTACTGCATGTGCAGAGCTCAAGCAGCTGGATGAATATTTAAGCACATAATATTCTTTTGCATCAGTGTTTCTCATTGAATTGAAGTATAAAGACATGAACCTGGTTCCATGTGTTTGCTACTCTCTTGCCTAAGACAATCAGGGATACATCTCATGTTGGAAACTACCTATTAAATGTTCAGCCATATGTTTAAAAACAGCATTAATATAGCATAAAATGAGATTAGCCTGATTACACCTTACTCCAGCTTCAGGACTTGATATGCTGTGCTCATGGACACATTAAAAGAATGGCCATGCCTCCCCATATCAGATTGGCAAAAGATTATGACTGGAATAACAAGAAAATTACAAAATGTTTTACTGGCAAGAAGGTATTTCACCATCTAAAAAACAAAAAAAAATTCTGAGGATTCTCCCACAAAAAATAATGGCTAGATTTATGTAACACACTAAGCTAAAAACCAAGCAAAACACATTTTGGCTTAGCACAATTTGTGAACCTGGGCAATGTGTGCAGGATCACTTAGTGAAACATTTGTAAGAAGCCCAGTTAAACCAGCTGTTATCCCAGTCAAGGCAAGGGAAATACACAAAAGCCTTCACTTTATTAATTCAGCTCCATATTTGCTGAAAATTTCAGCCCTAAGACCTGTGAACAGCCTATAGTCCTTGGCCATCTTATGTGGTCCTTGAATCTCTTCCTATCACCTGGCCAATGGGAACAATCACTGCATGGGAAGAGCAATTTTCATCATGATTGCTAAAGGCGACATGAAGATTCTCATGCTCAGCAATTCTGATCAAGAATAAATGCTAGGGGATGGGGGAACTAGCATCCTGATCCCATTCACTCATACAACTCCAAAGAGTTATATATGAACCAATGCAGATTCCCCTGGAATAAATGTGGACATGAAGCTCATCCACAAAGCTGTTTTGCTAAGTTTTCCTTTTGTCTGAGCTGGTAAGGAAATAACGTAAGTTTAAACTGCGCTGTCCTCACAGCTTGCGCTTAATATGCATACAGGTCTGTGCTATGTGGCTGTCCATGGAACTCCAATCCCATCCAATGTCACCAACATCAAGAAAATCACTAACAAAACTTGTACATTCCAAGCACTCTAACAATAATTTTTCCTAATTTTTTGCCACAGTATGATCAACTTATTAACCTACATGATATCAATATTCCTATCTTGGTGAGAAATAGAAATAGTAGTCCTATGAAACATTTTCATACATGTTTCCATCAAGAGGTCATCCAGTTTACTGCAGACTTGAATCAGAAATCAGAATTCTAACCTGCAGTATCTGGGAAAGGCTCTAGGAGTCCCTAGCGTGCACGCGCACGCACACACACACACCCATTAATTTTATATCTTAATTATATTCAAAAGCTGGGCAAACATAAACTGCAGTTCAATCAAGAACCACTTGAATTAAGTTCCACTAAACTTGGCAGGATGTGGTTCTGTGCAGATTTATTTCTGTGTCCATTTCAGAGTAGGCTATGCCTATCTCTACTGAAATAGTATACCTCTATAGCAAAACAAGTGAAGAATACAGATGTTAAATTGGATTTTATTTGATGTCCAATTCATATTGAATAAAGTCCTAAAGCGCACTGCAAATATATATATATAATTAATAGAATCCAGATAAACTACGAATATAATCTAATATCAAGTTGCATATTAAATTATTTCAGTTGAGCAAGTTCTCAAAATACTTTGGACATTAACAGCTACAAAACTTCAAAATATGCAAAATATATGTAACAAGAAATGTCTAACACAATCACTAACTCAAATCTTGTCTGTTATCCATTTTTAAAAAAAACTTAAAATCATAAATATATTTACTCACATAGATTTAATAAATAATAATTCAAATGAGAAAACAAAACTGATTATTTTGTTCATTTAACCTGCTTTGACAATTACATTTAAATTTTTTCAGGTAAACTTCTTCAAAAAGTAATTTGACATATTTTAAGTTACAACTTAATAGCTTTAATATATTTCTTTGAATATATGGTCAGACATTTGTATTACTATTTACCACAAAGTATTTTGATTTGGATTATATTTGCACTATCATTCTATTTTTATGAATATACTTTCTAGTATTTCATATTCTCCTGAGAAACAGATTTTTGCCACAATGCAAAAAGAAATAATTAAATTTCAGCGTCTTAATATTTCTTCCTTACCTTCCAGTGCCTTTTCTGTTTGAGCTATTCATGTTTTCTGACTGTGGCAGGTCAAGATCAATCAGTGAGTGTTACCAAGTTAAACACACCATGTTAACAAAAAGGGAAGAGCCACCACATTAAAGTGATTTAGCCAACAAAAGCAGTGGGCTGAAGCAAAGTGAGACAGTAGAGAAAATGGGCATTACCAGAAGGCCTCAAGAAACTTACCAGCTAGTGATTCTGGCTCTCTGGGTGACCCAACCCCTAACTTAAGGGCAATTCAACAGAGCCGGTGCCTTCATGCGAAACAGAGGTTTGCTACTCCCTATGCAGACCCCAGGTACTGCAGCTACAGCCTAGTTCCTAGATAGAAATAGAGCCTTCACGGAAGGTTGTTTTCCCAATCAGTGCATTGAGAAGGATGGGTTGTCCACTCCTGCATTTGGATTGTGCTGTCCGGATGAGGTCATCCATTTGGTCCTCATTCTGGCGTGTGAGCAGGAAACCTTTCCCTCCTAAGCCTTCCGCCACCACATGGTAATCTGCAGGAAAAAAAATATCACTCATCAACAAGGGAGAAAGCATGCTTCATGCCAATCACGCAGGGAACCTCCTCTCTAAAAGTTCAGACTGGGAACCAAGCTTGGCAACCCCCCTCCAGCAAGCTTTGCTACTGCAGCAGGTCAGCTTTAAGTGTCTAGCCACAATAATGTCATAAAATCTAACTTTCACTTAGAGGTTTTAAGCACTGAAAAAGAAAAGGAGGAAGGAATTGGTTTTTTTTAAAAAGACATGCATGATACATGATACATGGAAGGGGGAAGAAACTGAATACAGGTAGTCCTTGCTTACCAACTGCTTCATTTAGTGACCGAAGTTATGATGGTGTACAAAAAAAACAGCTTTGCACCCAATCCTTGCATTTATGGCCATCGCGGTCACATGATCACCATTTACAACCAATGATGGTCACATGATCACCATTCAGGCACTTTGCAATTGGTATGCATTTACAATCATCACAGCATCCCATGTCACGTAATCGCCATTCATGTGCTTCCCAACCAGCTTGTGACAAGCAGAGTTAACGGAGAATCCAGACCTAAAATCATAACTTCTTGTCGTGATGTTTTGCTTAACGACCAAATGGGAAGTGTCATAAACCCTTCAGTCACATGATTTTCTGCTTAGCAACTGCGGCACTTAGCAATGGAATTATCGGTCCCAATTGTGGTTGCTAAGCAAGGACTACCCGTACCAGATTCAGTTTTTATATTATATCTGTAAATACTCCAAACAAGAAGGGTATTGGTGAAGCTACACATACTCTCTATATTACAGGATGGAAAGCAGAAGCTTATCTTTGTAGATGCTTAGAGATTTTTACTAACTTGGACAAAATACACAGTATAAGTGATGCCAGCCTGGGAATCTGAGATTCTGGTATTTGTTCTAGTTTTGGTCCAATGGGTGTACTTACCAGGGGAGCAGTTCCATTTGAAATTGGATCAGAAATTTGCGACACAAGCAGAATTTGTTGCAAGCCAAGAGGCTGAACTAAATGCTCTTTTGCTGGCCTTCCCTGTGAGCCCAGGCTCTTTTGCCTCCACCCCACCTGTATTTCTTGGTAGTACAAGACATCTGAAATTATGCAGGCTATTAACTCACCTAAATAATCCAGAGCACAGGCGACATTGCTACCCAACAAAGGAAGTTGCTCCCGGGAGATTTGAGTCCAGCAGGCATCATTCCCCACAAGGGCAATAACAGGGGTCTGAAAGAGTGGAACAACCATGTTAAACTGAGAAATCTCTTGTTGCCATTAAGTGGCACACTAACAGACCAACTACACCAGTATTTATTGGGTCAAAAAATTATAATAAAGCCACTGCTAAGAGGCCTAGTTGCAAGAGAGAAGGAAAAGAAAAGTTACTGACCCTTTGCTGTGCTATGATAATAAATAAGGTTGAAGAATTCCCTGTCACCCAAACTGGCCTTAATGTTTCTTTCTCCAAAAGAAACAGTCAAGAAGGAAGAAGAGAGACCTATCCTTCCCTTTCAGTATATACGTTTCTCTCCATCTCAACTGCATGTTTGAGCAATTAAAGGAGGGAGTAAATTCTATTCTATTCTGTTCTGTTCATTCTTCATTTATTTGACTGTGTTTATAACTGAACCCAGTCCTGAAGGACTCTTGGCAGCATGCAACAAAATGCCATGGAAAAGAATAAAATAGAACGCAAAACCCAAGGAAAGTGCCCTCAGTCAATCAGCTGAGGATAAAGGCATGCTGGAATCATCCAGATTTAACTTGTTTGCAGAATGTAAATAAGGTGGAGGCCCCACATACTTCTGGAGGGAGAGTTCTCTACAAAGTGGAGAAAGGCCTACTGTCTTGTTCATACCCCATGTATCTCTTGAGATGGGGAGACTTTCAGCAGGCCCTCCCTAAATGACCAGACCAGCCAGGAAAATTCAATTCTGGAAAGGCATTGCATGATGTATCCCAGTGCTGTTACCACATATGGCTTTAAAGGTAATGACTAGCCTGGAGTCATTTGATTTGGGCCTGGAGGCCTTCTGGCAGCTAATGCATTAACCTCAATACTGTATCATTCTACAGATTGTCTTGTGAGTAATCCAGCTATGTTTTATATCAGCTGCAATTGATTTTCAAAGATAACCCCACATACACATTGCTGTAGTACAATTGACCAGTGATCAGTGCTTGATCTACTGATGCCAGGGCTTCCTGGTTTAAGTAGGGTTGCAAGTGGCATGCAGCTGACACTGGCTAAAAGCTGCTTAGCTGTGGCTTTGACCTACTACTTAAGCAGGAGCCAAGAGTGTGGGAGGAAGTTCAAGTCACGCACCACATCCTTTAGGGAGAACATGACACTGTTGAGAGTTTCTACTGGGACCAGTGTTATCAGTACCATCCTGGTGGGATTTAGTCTGAGCTTGTTTCATTCTATCCATATCTTCAAAGCCTCTAGATATGGCTCAAGACTTCCATGGCATCTCCAAGGTGATTATGTATAATCGTGTCATCAGCATACTGGAGACCCTTCACCCTGAACTGATCAGTGACTTCCCCAGCTGTTTCATGTATGTTAAACAGCATGGGGAAGATCCCTGATTGCATCCTATGTGGGAGATATCATGGTTTCAAATGACCAGAACCAGCCCCTCAGGTAGAAGCAGAGCCACTATAAAACAGTGCCCCTCAATTCACAACATGGTAAAACTTCTGGTTTCCAGAATTCTAGGCATCTTTTCCATTATAGGCATCTTGCTTTATTTCCCTCAGCTTCTCAGAAAACTAAAAAGCCATCTGGGACTAGCAAGGAGGAAGAAGCCTTATACAAACCAACTCATTCGGCACTCTACCTGTCTCTATGTTCCACTGCTCAACCAGGATAAGACAGAATTGTCCACCAAATTGTCAACTCCCCAAGCATCCTTTGGAAACCCTCTTGATCTCTATCACCCCAGAGGTTCCAATGATCCTATTCCCAGTTCTGTCATCACTAGCTCTAGTCTACAATACATCCCACCAGAACTGACTGCTAGGTGCACTACACTTCTGGGGGCCCAACTCAGTAGGACTAGCCAGGCGCACACATACCGCAACATAGTTTCATTAATTTCATTCTCCCAATCAGCATCATAATTCCAATCCTCATCTACTACTCCAACTCCACCTTAAAAAAAAAAAGGCTAGCTGTCTCATAAATTCCTCCAACTCCTCTATCCCTGTTCTCTCTCCCAAGAGATTATAGCTATCACTTGCATACTTCTTGTTCCAGCAATCCTCCAGGCAGGTTTAGAAAATGTGCAAGTCCACATTGGCATATATCTTGAATAGCTTGAGAAATGTGCGGAGAATTTGATGAAGAGGAAAGGTGATTGGCTAAATTTGCTGAAGGGGACCTGAGAAGAGATGGAAGAAGGGGACTGCTCCCCACTGGAAATAGCAAAGCAGCTGCTAATCAAGACCTACAGACTAGAAGTTACAAATAAACCCTGAAATGATATCTTTGTAAAACTGGCATAATTCCAACATCTTGTCTGGCTTCTGCACTCACTTCTATAGAAACTGAGAGTATGCAGCATCCTTAGAAACTGGGTGAGCTGATAGTTACCTTGTGTCGCACAAAAGTATCAAATTCCATGATGCTGAATCCAAGAGAGCCATCTCCATATAAGATCCATACCTGTTAACAATTCAAAAAAGATGGAAGAATTAGACAAAGAACTAGACAAAGATGCAGTAAAACAAAGCCTCAAAACATCCTAGCCCCTTATTTGCTTTCCCATGATTAAGTTTCCACTCTTAGCTTCCCTCTACAAGTCCCTTTGTGAGATGGGCAGCTACATAAATGTAACGAACACACACAGACACACTAACCTCTGAGTCTGGCCTGCAGAGTTTGGCTCCTAAGGCAAATCCACCCCCAACTCCCAACGTTCCAAAAGCCCCTGAAATGAGATGAAGCGGAGAATTCATGATTAAAGAGACCACACAGGTTGTGTGTACTGATTCCTGAATGGTAATTCCCTGGCTTTCTGAAAAGAAGTGGATTTCATCTCTTTATGATGGTTTGCTTTTTCATATAACTGTTTTTCAGGTTTCTTAATAACTGTCACCATGGATATGTTACACAGAACACAGAAAGGAAGGATACAAATAAATAAACAAATCAACAAACTAGTTCATGTCTTTATAGCAGGACAAGATGCATACTGGAATTTATATATTGGACTAAAGCCTGGCCTGTTTTACCCACAGTTTAATCAAGCCATAAATCCTAGTTTATAAATTTAAGCGTTTATAAACTAGAGTGTTTGAGTTCTCATATCACACTAAGCCAAAACCAAATGAATCATATTTTAGCCGAGCATAAACTCTGAACCTAACTATTATTTAAGCAGGTATACTAAGGGTCTCAGAAGCTTATTTTTAATCTGTCCATAAGGAGAGATTCTGCATAACGTCTGGAGGAACCCTCAAGACAGAATAGTTTTTTGTAGTTGTTACCCTTCTCTTCAAAAATATTTCAGGACTGAAAACCCTTTCTTGAAGAAATGAATGCATTACAACTGGACACAAAAGCATGCATAATTTTGATTATTTTATTGCATGGGTCATCCTGATAAAAAATTGAATAAAAATATGAATTTGTGGATACCAGTTTTACTAACAAAGAAAATACAACTTCTTGAACTGGTGAAGATATGATGAAAGATATGAAGGGAGAAGAGTACTGGAACAGCTTGTAGAATTGATGAAGATTGCTGAAGAAAGTTTAGCAGTTTATTTTATACTACTCACAGTATTCAGGCAAAGAAGAATTTGAGGACTATGGTTATTGGCTGGCACTCTGGTATAACGTTTCTTTTGTGTGGTCTATTTCTTTTGTCACTGTGGCAATGCAGGAAAGACAAAGAGCCCAAACTTCATCCCATACTCCCTGGGGGACCAAAAGAACTGGATGCACATTTGGGAGGCCAACAATACCTTTCTGGGATGGAGCATTTCTGCTGCCTCAAACGCAGCTGAGCATGACATGGAAGGGTGTGTTGTAAAGTATCACCCCACCCAACATTCATGAAAAACGATTAAGTCTAGACTCCTGCTTTAGCCCCAGAACACCTTAGAAATGTTCCCAACAATGCTTAGCTCATACCTGGATCCAGCCAAGACAGAGGACCCCTTGGCTTCATAATATAGGCAGCGCTTGCTACAAAGTCACCTCCATCTGCAACTAGTAGACTGTCTTCAGGAAGCAAGTAATCTACATGATGCAAGAGCTTCAGAGGGTTAAGATGCTGCTCTGTTGGTTCTTCTGCCTTCTCTCTGGGAATCAAAATCTGATTTGAGACATACCGGTAGCCAGCCTTAATTTCTACATATTGAAGTATTATTCAAGGGTAGAGCAAATGAGAAGTATCTGCAAGCCTTGCACTACATATGGACGTGTACAGAGAGTAGCATTTATTATTACCTGTTTGCTTTCTCCTTCCTGTGGTCAGACTCCTTCAGACTCATTACCCAATCCTGAGGACATGAGTAGCCTTTCAGCTTTTGGCTTAAGAACACGAGGAACAATGCAGCATCCCCTGTGTAAACAGAATTGAAGGAGGTATGCAGCCTCTTTGAATGCACCCTCTTCCTCAGATCACTGATATCAACAATGCATGCCATTAAGCATGATCTTTTTATTATCTTCTCTTTTCTCACCCACACCATATCCCTAGGAAATGTTCCTCACAACTCTCATATTGTTGCCTTAAACAAGCTCCTCACCATTTATGGTTATATAGGGTGTCCAGTGAATATGTGCATTTTTAAACAGTTGCTCCCGATTCCTGTTGACAGCAATGATTTTGCTGCACTTACTCAAGGCACGCCCATATGACAGGCGGAAATCACAGACTGTGCCTGAAAAGGAAAACAGAAGATACAAACGGAGGACAATTGTTAGACAGTCATCTTATATACCAACAGAAATATCTGCAAACCTCCAAATTCCCCAAAACTGGCTCAATGTTTTCTGGAAGGTCCTCTTCAGCAAGAGACCAGCACAAACTCAGCCCAGCTACCTGCCAGAATAACCACATCTGCCTCCTTGAGTGCCTCACGCCGGTTCTGACGAATGTGTAGTGGACTATTCTTTCCCAGCATGCCACGGGCCATGCCTCCCAGGAAGCATGGAATCCCCAGTTCTTCTAAAGCTTCTCTGTAAGAATATGCAGAAGGAGGAAAAGCTCACTGCTGAGACTGCAACAGCAATGACCTACTGACAGCAAGCAACAATGCAACCTGATCCATATCTTTATTATCTCTTCTCCCCCACTTCTATCTATTCATCTGAAAGCATGCTTGACACAGATCCTGTAGTTCCTGTTTCCCATTGATGGATTAATTCTATTGAGCAAGGATATTGTGCCTCAGGGTCAGTAGTAGCCTCTCTCATCAATGGTACTGTTTACACAGGCAAACTACAGAAGGGAATCCCAATGCTAGGGCAGGCGGCACATCTTACCTGAGCTTGTCTGCTGAGATTGGAGGAAGGGTCACTTGACTGCCGAGCAGTATGATTGGCTTTCTAGCCCTGCTGATGAGCTCCACACACTGCTGCACCTGCATATTAGTATATCCAGGAAAAGTTGTTCATGGCAAAAACTAATGCTTTAGAGCAGCAACCTAACCAGTATTAAGGGTTGTGGGGATGCAATCATACATAATGGGGGCAATGAATGTGGTAACAATCCAGGGCTTTACTGATAATAGTGGGCACCATATTTTTCAGCCTTAAGTTCACTCCCTTTTAAAGGCAATATTAGCTTGCCATCTCAAAGAAGACATTAAGTGCCAGAGTGGTAGGAAAGCAGAACATACAAGCAGATAACATGTGTATGACAAGCAGAACAAAATATTAACAAATAAGGCTTTCAACATCCCCTCTTTGACTTTGCTGAGCTTGGCTGGAATCTGGAAAGTTTTACTTAAAAAAGGTTTATCTTCCTAAAGTCTCACCTGTGCCTCTGTGGCTTCTGGCATTTTCACTGGTAAGGGTGAAAAGTCTTGTACTTCCCATGCTCCAGCAAACAGGTTTCTCAGATAACTGCACAGATACCTAGTAGACAACAGAGAGAATACAGCCACTGAAGCAAAGCCACTGCCATTGTTATGGCTGCAAGGTACAAGAGGATGTGGCTGAAGAATCCCATGGTTTTTTATTGCAAAATTTGTCGTGCTTATCAACTACCAAAAATGTTCAAGTCCTTAATGACAGTAAATGATAAATTAGTACAGCCCTCCTTGTGTCAATATAATATAAAAAACTGGATCAACAAATTGCTGGATCTCCTTCCATTGGATGAGATTTTGAATACACAAATTAAATTTTTACAAAAACAAATGTCAATGTTAATGATACAGGAATTA